GACGCGTTTCAGAAAGGCGGGGCATAGAGGAGAAACTATAATGTACAGTATGTGGAAAATAATGTGTTTTTTGAACCTTAAACCGCATAAACACATTTCATTACACCAAATACACAAAATAATGTTCTTTTTAGCAACATCATATGACCCCTTTAAGCTAAACGTTTAAAGACTCATGATGTACACTACAGTTCCTGGACTCACAGTGTCCTAGAAACCAATGTTTTAAAGATTCAGAAAAGAAGAAAATTTTGATAAGGAGAATAAAGGTAAAGATCATGGTATTTCAGTAGTAGTACATGTAAGGAATTTTAACTCAGTTGTAAGGGAATTAATTATTATTATTGATTCAGGTGCAGCACATCTCTAATGTATATTAGCACCATATGTTGTTGCTTTTTGGATTTGATAAACAGCTGGGACCTGGTAACTGTGATGTGTGACGTCAGACCTTACAAGCAGATAGCCCTAGTTTTCTTTTCAAAGCTTAATCTATGTACACTCCTAGTTTTGTAACTTCAAGTAACTAAAATATTTCAATCTGAAATAATTACATTTCAGGATTTCAGAAATTTTAGGAGCTGAATGTTCTTCAGTGTTTCTACACTTTTTAACCAATTACTTTTTTTAATGTGAATTGTATGCTTATTTACAAGTTCATAATTTTATTTTTAGGGGTCTACTAGAATGCTTTCACATGATTTAAAGTTCAAAAAGCACATTCTTTTTCACAGACTATATATTGCTGCAGCACGTCTTTTCACTCTCTGCCTGAAACGCTCTGTTTTAGTAAAGCTTGCCTTTCTGAAGAGTCCAGTCAGCCCTAATTGGTCATCTGGTACAATCTGTTGTGGTTGTTAAACCGTTTGCAGCGTGTGTCTCAAATATTACTCCCCTTACCATAATTGGGTTTCAACTCCCAAAGCTTTGTGAGCAACTGTAAACAGTATTATATATCTATGTAACTATGGCGTAATTATTGGAAGTCCATATAATGTTTTTTGCCCTTGAAGTGAAAAAATAGCATCTCCTTGACATAGCGAAGCGTCATAGCGTTTGAGGGCAGACCAAAGCAGCCACTAGCCAGGCATTATGAAAATGTGTATCATGGTGACATTGCTAAGTCACTGAAATAATGGCAGGACTACAAACGAGGTGTTTCAGGCAAGTGTTTTCTCAGAACCCCTGGTCTAGATCATATAAATTGGCCTCACACGCCAACACAAACAAGTATATATTTTTTTTAAGAAATGCCTTGTCTCACTTTTTCTTATTGCTAAGTAACCAGAGCACTCTCTGTGTGACGGACGGCCTCACCGCTATTTAAGCTTACTAATTTAGTCAAGGTTGACCAGACAAAGATGCCTATCCTCTGCAAGCTGACATAACCTGTCATTCAGAGGGCATGTTTGTCCGCTCTCAGCCTGTGCCAACTTTGTTATCTTCCTCCGCACATGCTGCATAGTCAGCCTTGATTTAGATTGTGCTGACTGGGCAGATTGGGACATGATTTACTGCAGACAACATGCATGTTCTAGATTTATCACACTTGTCATGTCTGTTGTATATGCAGGTCATATTAATGTTAATTATGAAGGGTTGATTTCCCACACAGGTTAAGCTCGACCCTCCTGCTGGATTATTTATTTATTATCGGTTAAATTAGTTTTTTCCTCCCCCATGAACTAACAGTAGTCTAAACTTTCTGGAAACTGGTTTATTTCAGTTATATGAACCTGCAGTGAAGTTGGTCACATACTGTTTTCTTGAGAAGATATTGCTCAAATTTGTTAATTATTACGTAGTGAAATTTACAATATTGCCACTTAAAAAAAAAAAAAAGAAAAGAAAAAGGTTTGCCATGTTAGTCCAAGTATAGTTTAAGTTGCCTTATTGTCTAAATGTGTTGCTATAAATATGATGCACCTGACTACCAATGAGAAACATTGTGTAAACGAAATATATACAGTACAGCTGAGTATGTACAAAGCATAACCAGGAGTCAATATGACTCAGTAACAGAAAGAGACAAGCAAAAGATCCAACTTCAACCATAACAACACATTTCTTGGTAACACTTTGTAATAATTTTCAATATCAAAATTACAAATATGAATATATAATATAATATATAATTTAATATATTATAGTTGTGTGTTCATAAGCATTGTAGTCATGATTTAATGAATGTTATTACAAAGTGTTACCCGTTGCTTTTTTACTGGTGCACATTTGTGTAAATTGCTTAAATACTTAAAAACTTCAAGTTAACATACTGTATGTGAAATGACATTGAGAAGCTCTATAGTTGAGAGCAATGTAGTTCTATAATATTATCCATATTGTCTACAAACTTATTGTTGATTCTTGTAAACTCTTGATAATAACATGCATCAAATCCTGTTCCAGAGGTGTGATTATGCCATTTTAACCTGTTCAATATTAGTTTTTTTTTAACAACTTTTCTTGATCAGCAAGCTGCAAGTTGATGACCTATGAAGATTTTGAACTAACACATGCATGTTGCAATACCCCTTTGACTTGGTTTTTACCCTCTACCAGAGTCAATGACCTGTTGCAGTTGCATCATTCAGTGTCTGCTGTCTGTAGAGAAAGGGAAACGCTTTGTTGGCCAGTGTCTGCTGCCAGTGTGACCCCTCTGATTGATTCTGCATTACCCAATGGAGAGTATAGGGTCAGGGATTATTGAAACTGGGTTGATGGTCTGATGGTGATCTTTGTGGATTTGAGGGTATAGGAGCTTCCTTTGGCTGGCTTCCAGTAGATTCCTTTCCTGCGCTGGTGCCGAGTCCTCGACCTCATCCAGGCGTATCTCCCGTTTAAGTTGGTGTCCCCACATGCGTCAAACCACCAACCTCCTGAAACCAGCAAACAGTTAATATTCAAGGGATGTTCAGTTGTATATTGAGGGATATTAAATATTCATTTTGACCATGTGATACCTGTGTAGTTGCGGGCGCAGTTTGACTCGTCATGATTATCGTTGTCTCTGTCCTTGGTTGAGAACTTCATGCCCATGTGGTTGCTCATGGCATCAGGCAGATCTCCAGACAGAGGTGCCACGTGAAGAGCGTAATCAGATGCAGGACCTTCCAGGGTGAATGTGTACTCGATGAATCTCTTTTCCTCCTTCCAGTCTTCCAGTTCAATGTGTAAAATGTATTGTCCTTGTTGAGCAATGGAATAAATCTTTGCCAAGCCAAGCCAGAACTCTTCTGTAACACAAAGATATTTCCGCTTGGCTCTTGTCAACAGCTGAAGATGCATTGTAATACAAAAGCATAAGCTGTTCATTGATAATCAAAGCGGTTTCTTTTTTTAAAGTCTGTGTGAACTGAGAAAAGCACAGTTGCTTTGATAGAGAAGGAAACATCTGACATGACACAAAAGCGCATACTTACTTTCCAGTTTGCCAAATCCATACTCGTATTTTTCCCATGACTGGTCAAAATCAACAGAACCATCCTTCCTCCTCTGAATGACTGTGGCTGCACCATCTAAAAATAAAGAGTAAATGTAAACTGTAAAAAGAGAATCTTGTATTGAGTTTGATAAGAATAGTGATAACAGCACATCCATCTTAGTTAAGAAAGTAATTTTCTTGTGCCCTTTGTGTGTACTTGTTGCAGTTTTTGTAACTGATATCAGTAGGAAGTCTGATAATTAGATGTACATTATCGGTCTCTTACCAGCCCTTATCTCACAGTAAACATAGAATGGCTCAGATTGATTGGGTTTGATTGGGTAAGTTCCACTGGTCCTTTGGCCTCTTTTGAACACATCACTGCAGTCCATTGGAAAGTCTATGCAGCAGAACACACAGTTGATGATTTTGGATTTATTAAAGCAGCAGTTTAAATTGCTTATTGATTTGTGCTGTTCTTACCATTTATTTCTGCAGTTCCATTGGTGGAGTTCATTGTTAAGTAACGAAAAGGGTCAAGTGTTTCTGGATTTAAATCCAAAGGTTTTTCAACTGTGTCTTGAAAAGAGTCATAGTTCATCTGAAATAAGAGAATATTTATTCTCAGTAAATGCAAATAAAGCCATTAGAGTTACACTGAGAATTAGTTTAAATTCAGTTCAGTTTTCAGTTATTCAGTAGAATTTCTTATTACTTGACATTGACATTATTAAAATCTAATTTATTAAAAAGACCATTTAAATCTCTTTATTTTACAGTATAATCAAATCAAATTCTTAAAAAGTAAAATACATTTTATAATGTATTAAATATACAAAATATTTTGTTAGCTAGAACATTTTCTTATTGCAATCTCTATTAAATGCGTACTGTAAATGTAAATTCATTTGTCAAAGATGTGGGGAACCTTTTAAATAAAAATGCTTTGAATGATAAATTCAAAATACATAATCCTTAATTTATAATGAAAATAACACTAATATTACAGAAACAAGAATGGATACCTTATCCTCAAGACTCTTAATTTTGGTCTTCTGGTAATTGAGCTGTTCGTGTTGCTCTTTAACAGATTTAAGCAGATCTGTAATGGTCCTTTCTTGTGTTTCAATCACATCCTGCAATAGACAAGTTGTTAATGCAACAAATGAACAGATGCCTGTACAGATATATAATCAGTTTTATTGATAAGCATTGATTTAGTTTTTGCTCTTGCCATCAAATGTGATTTACATGCCGTTTTAGACATTCATTTTAAAATCGGTATTGTGAAGCCCTGTAGTTATAATGCGAGATTGAATGGTTTCCATTTACAATAAAAGTTCAGAATTGACCTTACTGGACTCACCTTCAAAGCAGCGATCTCTTGAAGTTGCTCCAGAGGCATCATGCTCTGAGACAAGCCCTTCAGCTTCTCCTCCAGCCCACCAACCTTGCTGTGCAACTGGCTTCGCTCTTGGAGGATGTTGTTGATTTTGGAGTTGATCTCCAGTGACAAGTTTCTGATCTCCTCATTATTGGCCTTCAAAAATATGGTCGTCTCTTTCAACTTCTCCTCTTCCTCTTTGATTTCACTGGTGACCACCGAGAGCTGGTAGAAGGAGCGATCAAAGATGTTGAGCTTCTGGAAGATGTCGTTGATCTGAGACTTGGTCTTGTGCACAAACTCTCTGAGGCTCTGGCCGAGCTGGAGAAGACCGTTAGCAAGGAGTCGTACGTCATCTAACATGGCAAAGCGGGATCTAGCCTCAGTTGGCGGTGCGGTGACAAGAAGAGGTGTCTCTGTGGGTGCTTTCTTTAGATTGGGAGCTGCACTTGTTGTTGACAAGCTTAGCCAAAAAAGCAGTAAAATCAACATCATGTCAGGTGGTTTGAAGGCAGATTTGTTCACGGCGTCAGTCTGTTCCCAATGTCCCAAAGTCTTTGTACTCGTCTCTTTTAGCCTCCGTTTCTCGCTACTTCTCTCATCTCCTACTCTGAGAACAAGACCAAAAACAGAAGAGATTCCTCAAATTATATACAGCTAGACTGAGAGGGGGAGGGACCATTTGGTAATTATTAAGCAGGCTGAGCTTGAGCGTCCTCCTTCCAATCTGGAATGTTTTCTTGGTGCAGACAATTTACAGTTACACACACACACACACACACACACACACTCACACACACATCCATAACCTGGCCCCTGGTTGCCTCTGATAAGCAAAGATGAACAATGCTGATGAATCATCCTGCCGATCGATCAAATCATCACCACGGCCACTTGGTGCACTGTGCATGTACCACTTGGATGGGAATTAATAATAAAAGTATGCAATTTATGGTTCTGGCTTTGATTTAATGGTCTCCTGAATCAGCGAAGCATCACTCTCAAGTGCCACTGAGAGGGTCTGCATGTACAAGCAGAATCGTCACTGAATCTCAGGACGGTTCGGCTTAGGCGGTAATAGAAATGAGTGATGACTGAAGTTGGGGGAGTTTGTGCCATTTGCACTGATATGTACAGGCTTTTTATTTACTGCTGCTTCATATTAATCTCCCTTCAGGCTTCAGCAGAAGATTTGTATTTATTTATTTATTACATTTTTTATTAAATATTTTCCCTTTCTGTTGGCCTGGTCGGGCCAGTAGTTTAGGAAGAATTTAACTTGCCAAGTATTTATGCTTTCTTACATACTAGATTTTTTTTCAAATTAAATTCTAATTTTTACAAAAAATTACTAGGCTTTCAGTTTTCAATAAACGATACAGGTATAATGCTACTTCATGACCGCTGTATTCATAGACACATATATATTTCATCAAAATCTCATCTATGTCAGCCATTTAGGTAATGTTACATTGGTGAAGAGTTTTAATTGTAAGAATTTGCAACAACAATGTTCAGTAAATGTGCTAGCCTTAGTTTTCTTTGTTCACATGTGCTGCGATTTAAATGTTTAAACTTAGCAGCTTGTAATGGGGATGAGTCATAAACTATTGAACCTGAGATAAAAATACATTTAACATTCAGCTAATATGAAGTATTTAGCACATTGTTTTCTGTTAGTACATTTCTGAATACATAATGCATTTTGAAAAGTTGACCATATTTACATGCTCATTATCTGATTAAAGTCCATACTGTGGTTAAATACGTACAATATAATGTGTGTCTGTTTGAAACTATCTTGGAGCTGTTCAGCTGGTCAGTAAAAGTTTAAGTTTTTTTTTTTTTTTGCCTGCTAGCTAACTTGTTTTATGTCTGCTGTGCTGCTGCAGTGATGTATTATCATTGCCCTGCTGCACACTCAGATTAACTGCTCCTGTTCAGACAGGTGCGGACAGTTTGGCCTCAATCCATATTTGTGGACACAGCAAACCCAACCAGACTCTCATTGTGTACCCAGGGACCATTCAGGGTGTAGAGAAGCTTGTGTGTCAGTGGTATGGGAGGTCTGCAATGTCCCTTCTTACACCCTGCACCAAATAGAAAATGATTAACCCGTTATTATTTAATGGGAACTTAATAGAACTGAACTGGAATCGCTCCACATTTTTAATTTATTGCATCTCTTTTGTGTGTGTGTTCAAATGCAACTAATATTGAAACATTTTAAATATTTTCATAGAATAACAAACTGCTGATGATTGAGTGTACAATGTAAAAGTCTCCCTTACTCATTTTTTCCCTTTTCAACTCGAACAAAAGATCATAGTATGAAATAAAAGTAACTTTTGCACCACATTAGAGAGGAGGTAATATTGAGAGTGCGTGAGAGATCTGTGCTCCTTGGAAAGTCTGTGACCTTTGCAGTCTGTGTGGTCTCCCAGGAGAGTGTGTTCCACCTCACTGCAGTATTTCTGTCCGTTCCTGCAGCTACTGTAACGGAAACAGCTGTGCAACAAAAATCTATGCAATGAAAAGATCAATGGGGATTCATGTTAAAAAAAATACATTTTCACATGTGACCAGAAATTGTTTTTGAAGCGTAAAATTTGGTGTAAATTACAAGTTTTTTTTTTTTTTTAATTTATGCTATTCTTAAATTGATTAGTTGTTTTATGTAAATTTTAAGAAGGGACTGTTGATTTCATTTTAGTTTTTATTTCATGGACACATTTCTATTTCATTTTTAAATATTTTAATTTCAGTTGAAGGGATAGTTCACCAAAAATGAAAATTCTGTCATTAATTACTCACCCTCATGTCGTTCCAAACCTGTAAGACCTTCGTTCATCTTCATCATAGACAGCAAGGATCCTTACAAGATCAAGGCTCAGAAACATAGCAAGGGGATCGTTAAAATAATCCATGTGACATCAGTGGTTCAATCGTAACTTTACGCAGCTACAAGAATACTTTTTGTGCACGAAGAAAACAAAAATAGCGACTTATTCATCAATTTGTCTCCTCCGCGTCACCCTGGCTCCATTTTGGAGAGTATCACATACGTAAACAACGTATGCTGTTCTGTGTCAGCAGCAGCGTACGCGGATACGCTGTTTACGTTGTTTACGGTTTGATCTGAACATAAGCAGCGTATCCGCATACATACGTTGATTACGTATGTGATACTCTCCAAAATGGCACTATAGGGTGGTGCGGAGGAGATGAATTGTTGAATAAAGTCGTTATTTTTGTTTTCTTTATGCACAAAATGTATTCTCGTAGCTGCGTAAAATTACGGTTGAACCACTGAAGTCACATGGATTATTTTACCGATCTCCTTGCTACGTTTCTGAGCCTTGATCGTGTAAGGTGTAAACCCTTGCTTGGAATGCATCAAAACTGTCTTAATTTGTGTTCTGAAGATGAATCGAAAGTTACAGGTTTGGAATGACATGAGGGTGAGTAATTAATGACAGAATTATCAGTTTTTGGTGAACTATCCCTTTAAGGAATTGTCTGTGACAACAGAAAAACATTTCTAAAGTTAATTACACATAAAATGATCAAATCTTTGAATTTAAGATTTAGAAAACTTACTGGAACTTCTAAATATATTAAAAAAATTAAATTAGATTCCAACGTTGTTTTATTGAATTAGAGCATCAAACTTTTGATGTTTAAATAATTTCTCTTTCTCTGTCTACCTGTGTATGTAGGAACCTGCTGTATGTGAACCCACAGAGCCTGAACTTTGCTAACCGTCAAGGCTCAGCCCGTAACATTACAGTGAAAGTACAGTTCATGAATGGGGAAGATCCTAGCAATGCTATGCCTGTAAGTTTTGACAGAATGCATATCAATTTACAGTTTTCACGTGACCAAACATGTCATAGAGAAGCACCGTCTTGACTTTGGGAAATGGCATAATATGCTTACAGTTCTTCACTCCTTGGTCTCTTAGGTAATCTTTGGGAAATCCAGTTGTGCAGAGTATTCAAAGGAGGCGTACACTGCTGTAGTCTATCACAATCGGTGAGTTAGTTTGTATTTTTTAAAATCTCAGTTATATGACTTCACCCAGAAGTCTTTAACATGAGATCAAAATCAGTAGATGGAGCGGCAGGGTCAGTTCTATGTGAATTTGAAACAACTGTTGGTCAAGTTTTTGTTTGCTTTTGTATAAGAGATGGATTATAGACAATTTCTGTATATCAAATGTTGTTTCCTCAGATCGCCAGATTTCCATGAAGAAGTTAAAATCAAGCTACCAGCCTCGCTGACCGACCATCATCACATCCTTTTTACTTTCTATCATGTCAGCTGTCAACAGAAACAGAACACTCCACTGGAGACGCCTGTTGGATACACGGTACATCGTTTTCCACACACACACACACACACACAAACACGCACACACACACACACACACACACACACAGGTTTGTTTTTGTGAAAAGTGGGGACATCCCATAGGCGTAATGGTTTTTCTGCTGTACAGACCATATATTCTATTGCTCTACACCAACCCTACCCCTAAACCTATCCCTCACAGGAAACTTTGTGCTATTTCAGATTTTCAATACACTCCATTCTGTGTGATTTATATGTGTTTTGAAAAGTGGGGACATGGGGTAATGTCCTGAAAAGTCACCTTCTCCTTGTAATACCTATGTCATACCCTTGTCATTATACAAATTTATGTCCTCATTTGTCACAAACACACACACACACACATACACACACAATTAAAAAAACTTTCACTCAGCAAGGAAGCATTAATTTATATTTTAAATAAATGCTTTTATTTTGAACTTTGTATTCATTAAAAAAATCACAAAAATATTAACCAGCACAACCACAAGTGTTTTTTTTTTTAGCACTAAATCAGCATATTCCTTGATTTCTGAAAGATCACGTGTTCAGCAGTAATGGTTGCTGAAAATTCAGCGTTGCCATCACAAGAATAAATTACATTTTAAAACGTATTAAAATAGAACTAAGAAATAAAAAGGTTAATTTTCACAATATTACAGTTTTTACCGTATTTTTTGATTAAATATTTGCAGCCTTAGTGTGCATAAACTTTTGAATGATAGTGTACATGAACACAAAGATTTTATTTTCTTTTTTGACATTTTTGGCGCTCACACCATGCTAATAGAGAACACTTCTATAAATCTGTACACATATTTTGGCAACAAGTCGCCTTTCAATAACAAAGATGGAAATTAAGATACATCGAGAATAGTTTTGATACTGTGGCTGGTTGTTTAGACTGTTTAGACTGTTAGATTAATTCATAATTTTAAAATCAGTTACATAAAAATGTAGATTGGTCTAATTTGAATCTGAAAAGTAAGTTATTACCACTTTGTTAACTGCTTGTTAGTCAAGCTAGTTCTTAAGACTCTTAAGAGTCTTAACATAGTGACGTTTAACGTTAGCATAGTGGAGTGGTGTTTATGCAACTGGCCCCTGAATCATGGCTCTCTGAATAAAAATCTAATCTAATCATGATGTGCCTGAAGGGTCACTCCTATAGTAAATGTTATGTCTCTTATTTTTCCTCAGTGGATTCCCATGCTGCAAAATGGACGCTTGAGAACAGGTCACTTCTGCCTTCCAGTATCTCTGGAGAAACCGCCTCAGTCTTACTCTGTTCTCTCTCCTGATGTAAGTCAATTTCTGGCACACAACGCACTAAGTTAAATATGATTAGTTTCTTTGAATGGCCTTGTTTAGTATCTAGTATCATGTATCCCTCATTTATATACATTTATTGTTAAAAGACTTTCCTCATTGGTCATTGATGTTGTCAGAAAAAAAACTTTTTGAACCTTGAATTTTTTTTTCTTATCATTACCCCTTTTTTTACAGACCAAGTTCTAACATTTTTAAATGTTTTTGATTTATGATACCTGTATTGTTAGTAATGCTGTAACACTACAGTGGGACTTACGATTTGAAGGAAGTGTGTTTGAGAGTATTTTAGTGTACAGTGTGTAATAATACAAAGAAATTATACTGCAAGTTCATTCATGCATTTGTGTGTAGGTTCCCCTTCCTGGAATGAAATGGGTGGATAACCACAGAGGGGTGTTTAATGTAGAGGTTGTGGCTGCATCCACCATCCACACACAGGTAATTAGTAGTTAAATTGTCAAAGTACTGATTAATAGCCCACTTCTCCATTCTCTGATGTGTTTCTTTCCTCTGCCCAGGACCAGTTTTTAGATAAGTTCTTTGCACTGGTGCATGCGCTGGATGAGCATATGTTCCCTGTGAGGATAGGAGACATGCGCATTATGGAGAATAATCTGGAGGCTGAGCTGAACTGCCCAACATGGACCCCAACTCCCCCTCTCCAGGTCAGGTTTCAGCTTGATCCTTTGATTTATGTGTCTCAATCTGTGGCTTTTGGAGAGTTGATGATTGGTTAAATTAGTTGTCAATCTGATGTGTTTCAGTTTTGATTTATTCTGCTCTGCGTAATAGGCCCAGGAGGATTGGGCGGTTCAGTGCATTATGCCACCATGGCCCGTTCTTCTGTTAGACCTGCAAGCCTCAACCTCAACCGCTCTCGTAGCCTTAGCAACAGCAACCCAGACATCTCTGGCACTCCAACTTCCCCAGATGATGAAGTACGGTCCATCATTGGCAGCAAGGTAGGTAGACACATTTCAGCAGCTCTGTTGGTTATAATTTATTTCTAATAATATTATAGATGCATCGTCGTTTATATACACATCGAAATGTATTTTATTAGTGCTGTTAAGACATGCTTTGATTGCTCCAGCTGGATGTGACTAATTGTATTCATTATTATGAGTGCATTTATAGGTCATTGACTTTCTACACTAGATTGCTGATTTCACTGATCATCAGCAACTCTCAATGTTACAGATCAATCTATAGCTCACCAGCAAGACGAACTTTAGCTGGAACATTTTATGTACTTAACCCATGTTACGCAATCTTGCAAAAGGAAGAACAAAAATGAACTATAACACAATGAATGTGTGGTTGAGAGATCATTGGGTATAATCCATTCAACAGTTTGCCTTTGAATGTATAGCTGATAGCTCAGTTATTTGTTGAATTGTTGCGCCCAGTTCATACAAGGAATTATGCAAATCATATGTTTAGCAAATCTACATTTAATAAGTTAAATGATTGCAGTTTTATTCAAACTGCTCCAAATTACATTGCAAATCTGTTGAATGTTCTCATGATGATTTCAAAAATTCACTACATACACTACTACAAATGTTTGGGGTTAGTAAGATTTATGCTTTTGAAAAAAGTATCTTCTGCTTTTCCAAGTCTGCATTTATTTGACCAGAAATACATAAAAAACAGTATAACTGTTTTCTAGTTAAATATTTTTTTTTAAAAATTATTTATTCATGTGATGGCAAAGCTGAATTTTCAGTATTAATTTCTCCATTCATCAATGTCACATGATCCTTCAGAAATCATTCTAATATGCTGATTTTGTTTGACAATGTAAAAATCCTTCCTTACTGACACTTTTGACCAATTTATTGCATCTCTGCTGAATAAAAGTATTAATTTACTCCAAACTTTTGAAAGGTAGTGTACATGATGTAACGGTCATGACTTTTATAATGTACCAAATGGTCTGAAGATGTTTAAGATGTTTTATTTGAGGTACACTTATGAATTATTGGTGCTAACCAGTGATCCCTTTTCCCCTATTACAATGAATGAATCAGCCTGATTTCACATCGTGCATTCTGTGTGCTAACTGTGCCAAACTAAGCCTTTTGTTACCACTTAAAGATGCTTGATACTCTAACCTGTTGCTGTTCAAAGATAAGAAATGAATATAAACTAACTTGCTCCCTTGCTCACTTGATCTCATTGACCTGTAACTTTTGACCTTTCACTGTTCCCTGGCTTGCTTGCGTCTGCCCGTGATCCTTTTGATGCCATCCTTGGCTTGCAGGGCTTAGATCGCTCCAACTCCTGGGTGCATACCATGGGGTGCAAAAGCTCCCCCTGGGGGACCAGCCCTGGCTCATCATCCGATGCTAAGCAGGTCATTCTGACTATCCCAACCCCCAAATACAAAGCAGAATCCCCATTTCACACAGTCGTTCCCAGTAGCACTAAAACAGCAATATCTGATAACTCCATGGCACACTCCTCTTCTGCTTCCATTTTCCTTTTTTTTTTTTTACTTCCTCAACCCCATTCACTCTTCTTAAACAGTCATTTCCAAAGCCACCTCATTTTTTCTTATTCACCATTTCACTCTAAAAAGCATTGCATGGGCATAACTAACCAATTTCCATTTTCTCTCTACTTGGCATGTTATTATATGCTGCATGTACATGTATGCGTGTGTGTGAATGTTTTGTTTGTCTGTTTGTTTGTGTTTTTTTTTAAATAACCGGCACCTGGTTAAGACTAATAATTTTCTTTTCTCATTACTCAGTGCCTGTAATAGTCTGATTCATTAAAGCATTACATGCAGACTTTTTATTTATTTTATTTTATTTATTCAGCCGCACACCAAAACACTTTTTAAAATCTCTTCAGTCTCCTTGCTGTGTAGACTATGTCCCTCAGAATAGCTATTTGTCTGATGGAAACTAATTGTTTAATGTAAAAGTAATTGAATTTTTTAATTACTTATCTATTACAATATTACAGTTTGTGCAGTCTCGTTCTGTATTGTGTTTTGTGCGTGTGGGCTGAGGGTGTGTGTGTGTGTGTCTGTGTGTAGGTATTGGTAGTGAATGGCACCACATACTCCTGTCCTCCACACTAATCTATTGTCACCCTTCCATTCATCCCCAACCGTAGGCCATGGAGCGCAGTGGCAATCGCATGTCATCGCACACTGAGAGCGCCAGTTTCTTGCAAACATTAACAGGACGCTTGCCGACCAAAAAGGTAGAGACCCAATTCCCGGAGGGCAGGAGCCGACCCCCTCCTCGCCTCACCTGCGCCTGTCTGTCTTGGAATGACTGGATGTTGTTGTTGTTGATGTTGTTTTGTTGCTGTGGTTGTCATGTTCTTGTGGATGCTGGGTACACGTTCTTCTCTTTACTATGAATGACTGGCACCTCTTTACTATGAATGCACCTAAAGACTGTTTGAAGAGGGAATGATGTGTCACTTGTGGTATGGAGCACCCTGTTGGTTTTGCCCCGGTAACGGGTACTGTGTTCGAATGGGAAGTTTATCTGTTTAATGTTGGATCTGTAGAATAATGAATTCTCCCCACTCTTGCAGCAACACAGTGGACCTTATGTCAATGGACCGTATCATGTCTCATAGTAGAACTAAGATATACTGACCTATATGCAGTGTATTTGATGGTGAATGGTTCTTTGATGGTTCCTTCCTGTTCTCAGCTCTTTCATGAGGAGCTTGCCCTGCAGTGGGTGGTCAGCAGTGGCAGCGTGAGGGAGGGAGCCCTGCAACAGGCCTGGTTCTTCTTTGAGCTTATGGTAAGAACTGCCACAATCATAAATCCCCATGCTTCCTCCTTCATGATCAAAAGTGTAGCATCTGTTATTGTGAGGGAAAAAAAGGATGTTCTTTCTCTTTTCAGGTTAAGAGCATCATTCACCACTTATACTTTACTGACCGCCTGCAGTCTCCCAGGAAGAACCGCTTCCCTGAGCGCTTCATGGATGACATCACCGCTCTGGTTAGCACCATTGCAGGTGACATCGTCTCACGTTTCCAGAAGGTGAGAAAACTGCAACTACATGAAATAACTTTTATTTTGTTTTAAATAATAATATCATTATTATTTTACTCTTAAAGAGACGTAATCCCCGAAACAGAGCTTCCCACTTGCGCAATACTGAAATATCTGCTAAGTGTGTTACTTACCTTTGTCAACCTGGCAACCATGTGTTGGCGCTCACTCTGCACTGTGGATAAACGCGCTTGCTTTCTGATAACACCGGTTAGTTTGCAGTTTAGCGATCTCCACTTTAATATTCTATTCTCAGAAAAGTGTAATTCATCA